GAGAGAGAGAGAGAGAGAGAGAGAGAGAGAGAGAGAGAGAGAGAGAATGGAAGGCAACAGTAGAACTGTAAGCAGGAAAGAGCTCATCCGTATGAGCTGTGCTATTCAGAGAATACCAAACCTTTATGCAACAGTGGTGAGGATCCAATTATAAAAGCCATGCACATGCTACTGAAGGATAAAGGCATTCCAAGAAAGTAAAAATGAGCTGAGGAAATGCACAAGATGCTTCAATCATTTTGAAATTTTTTCTCCAGCACCTTGGGGCTTCTTCAGTAATTTTGGACAGGCATGCTTCATTAGCAAAATTATAGCAAAACTATGTAGCAATGCAGAAAGATGCGAAACCTGACTCTTAGTTGCCTCTTACCTTAGCATCTCCATTGGTGAGAAAACCCTCACTCTCTTTCTTAATCAGTTTCACCTACTTGACCAGGGAAAGAAAAACCTCTCTCAGTAGCGTCATTTATTTAGTAGCTTCCCATACTCCACTTTCAGCCTGTCAGATAATTAGCTTGATCACACAGGGGGTCAAGTGGGTCTCATGAAAATGGATCTATCATCATATTCTTCTTCACCTGAGAAAACTATCCCTTCACCATCATAACCCCCGTTCACAGAATTTTTAATACCATCTTGAGCTGGAATTACCACTTACTCTCTAACCTTTACCCTGTAATCTAATAGTATAATGATTTTTTAATCCAGCCATTAGCAGACTTTACATAGAGGAGATTCAATAGGCTTGCTTTATCCAGCCTTCTGACACCACTCAGAACTTGGGTTTACAACTGTTCTTAGCCACGTCTGAATCACTGCGTTTTTTTAAAAAAAAGGGGTTTATACCCTTAAATGGCAACAATCAAAGGACTCATCATCTTTTTGGTTCATGAAATGGCCAAACCTGGTAGTAATATGAATACTATTATAAAATCAGAAATTCAGAAATTTCCCTTTTAAATACTTTTTCCACAGAATAGACACTGTATGCTACATAAAAGATCTTGTGAATCTAGCATCTTCTTATATAAAGAATAAGAATGATTAAACTTTAGTACGGTTTATCACACCCACCCAACACATACAAATGCAAATCTTTCTGATCAACCTCTCCCACCCATCCCCAGAAAGGAAAAAAGCAATTAGAAAATGAAATTTTCTCAAATTTCTTACATGGTCAACTTAGCTGTTGTATCAAATAATCAAATAAAATTGTTCATATTTTTAAAATGAGGTCAGGAGATTGCTTTTAGTGAGTCTTACTTTGGTTGTATCACCCTTTTGAACACGGCTGTGCTTATTAGGCTGTAGGGCACAGTGGCAATATTTGACTTAAAATTCAAATTGTGGCAGTCGTGTAAATCACTGTGATTAATTACCAAGTCTTCTTGGTCATGCTCCTCTCAATAATTTATATATTAAAACTATTTGATCTTTGTTTAAATTAGTTTTGTTTCTAGATATAGTTGAGTTTTCTAAATTTACTGACACAAAGAGTTAAGAGAGGTTAAGTGAGGGTTTGGAGAAAGGAATGCTTCCTATAGACACATTTTTTTTGGCATTGGCGTGACATGCAAGAATACTGAGTGAACTCCCCCTCTGAGACCAGAAAGCAGCCTCCAAGTCACACCTAGTAGAGCATCTATTTTCCTTGAATAGAGAAAAACAAATGATAATAAATTTAAAGATGACTCTATTCATTATGGAGAGTGAATGAAGAGACCTCTGTTATTCTCCTTCTCTGTACATTCTACTTTTCTTGATTTTTGTTTGAGCAAATGTCAAGGAAGTCTCTAAGATCTGCTTTGTAAACATTTATCTCAAAGACCTCTGTTCCTCAGACCTCTGACTTAACTGCAGTTCTAGGAAAACCTTAGTAATTATGACTGCTCAAAATGAGAAACCAGAGACCTGTGGTGCCTTAGGTCACAATGGAACCTGTAATAGATTGAAGGCCTGACAGGAGGCAGGTGACAATAGTCACAGCAGAGTAAGGTTAGCAAAGAGGAGGAGGAACCAAGAACTGAAGAACAGGGGATTACAGTCAGGTGTTTAAGTAAACAGCATTATCAAGGTCAATCCTCAGCCCTTTCCGCAGTTGTATTGTAATGCTTGCAGAAGATTATGTAAGTAAAAAATACAGAATTAAGTTTAATTATGGCACATATGTGATAATCCTAATTTTCTGCTTTCTCAGTACAGTTACCGAGCAAAACATTTACCCCAAAATTCTCAGTGGCAAAAGAAAAATGTGAAATGAACCTCATGGAAATTGCCATGATACTCGAGTTTAGGAAGTAATATATAGCACACATATAATCAATTGGTTCACTGAAAGCCAATCAGTTGGCTCATAGACTATTCAAGGTTCTACCAGTTTTCTTGATTTAAAATTTTAATTCAAGACTACTAATTCCATGTATTTTTTTTGTTGTCTGTTTTTCTGCAGTGATGAATCTAACCTTCCAAGCATGAAGTTGTGTATATAATGGTCCACTTTTAATATTTATAGTTGAAAACTGAATTGCAGATTTTACGAGTCTGATACATGTTTACATAGGGCTGCTTCTTCCTGTTGGCAGTGGTGTACATGTCCATTTTTACTCCACTTACATCTGAAATTGGACAATTTGTGAAACCAGTGAAAAGCCTGCAAAAAAATATAGATCAATATCTCGTTATCTCATGTGAAGATATGTGTTTATATGGACAAATCAGTGGTAGAGAATGATTGTACTAGCTATTTTCCTTCTTTGGGCTTGCTAATTGCATGGACAAAAAGTGCCATGAAATAGTTTACATGAAATGGTGACCAAATATGGACTCAAAGCTATGAAAATGTACTATACTGACTGATCGTCACATTCCCATCACCATTCATGTTGGCGTGGACTCCTACCTACACCACCTATCGAAACTGACTAAAACAGCATGACTGTGTGCCAAACCTGCTTGCTGTGCAACCTCAGATGCTAGCATGCTAATCACAAGTCCTTCAATCACGTCTGAGCTTTTATTCCTTTTGTCATCTCAAGGGGGTTACACCGTGGCTTATTGCCAAAAAGAGATGAGGTGGTGGAGAGCACACACACAATTTGTCTTGTATTTTGAGGGAGTTGCAGTCCTGACTGCAGATCCACAGCTTCCAGTATTGTGGGCTCACGTGGCCACTTTGGCTGAAAATACGAAGGGGTTGAGCCTGTTGCTGCTGCCAGTTTTTCTTGGGCTGCCCTTGGCAGTGAAGACACGGGAAGAGGACCGATTCAGCCTCCAGCACTGTCTCTCGTGTGACCAAGTAGGAAAGAGGTTTACAAACGCAAATGTGCAGAATCTCAGACTTTAAAAATATAAAAATAACTCAATTTCAGCAAGTGTTAATATGGGTGCTTTTGAAAAATGACAGAGGCACAGCACTTCTTTTGGAATAGGAGATTCTTGGAATGGCAGCCCCTATCCCTTAGGAAAAGGGGATGTGCATCCCACCCAAACTTGGGTTGCTGAAGAAATAACATGTTCTGAGAAGGGATCAACCAAAATCGCCTCTCCTGAAGATGTAGGAGAGCTTACTGGGACAATCTGTGCCGAAGTTGTGAGAGCTTTCCTTCCTCCTAAGATCCAACCCATATCAAACATTTCCTGCAGAGTTCTACAAACAGAAAGGTATTTTTCATTCTTTTTAATGCTTTTTCCTTTTTCTTTTAGTCCCATGAATATTGAGAAAATATTCATTTCAGTTTTTGTCACATCTGTTTTGAACAATTTTTTTTTAAAGAAGTCTTCAAATCGTAAAAATTTGGCTCCAATAGTCAAAATGACCTTTTACTGACTTCTCTCTTGTTTTGGATAATTGGATATAAAAGAAGCTCCGCTTTCAGGTTAATCATTGTAAAGCATGAAGGCTAAGCATTTTTTAGTATGTTTTGACTTTTTTTTACCTGATGAATGTAATGTACGTGAAGATTATCAGTTAATATAAAGCCAAGATTTTGTCACATTTGATAATTTCTATTTTTATGATTTTAAGTTTTGTCTATATTTAGCTTTCTCCTTTTAACATTTCTAAATGTTTGTCTTATCCTCATATCCACAGACCAAATCTGAGATCTCAGAAAGCTGTGAAATATAGTTGCCATAAAGAGTATTTTTCATCTACTTGCTCAAATGTTACCTAACCGTATTAGAGCATTTCTTTGCACAGTAAAGAGTTGGCAGCATGTTTCAAAATGGCTTATTCTAAGTGGAAGTGTTACATTAAAAGAAACATTATCAATGAGGAGCTAGGCACCCTTTCAGCCCGTTAGAAAATTTAATTTCTCTCCTGACTCGATGTCATCTTATGGAAAGATTTTCAGTTTCATGCATAGGTTTCACCACCAGAAGGGAAATTAACTCATCATTGGCTTATAGTTAAGATATAACCGTAAGACAAGGAACCTAAAATCCTCATGATCTCATGTATGCTATGTAACCAAATGACAATCATACAAAATGGCATCTTCTTTTTCTATTAAATTTTTAAGGTTGAAAGATGTTTAAACTATTAGATCAGTCTAATTGGTAACATTTCTGGTAACATTCCACACCCCTAAGCCAGTTTAACATTTTGAAAATAATGGAGGGCATTTTCTAACAGTTTCTTGTATGGCACGGTGCTAGGATAAGGTATTTATTGCTCAGTGTCTGACACAATTTGTCTTAAATGGTTTGGAAAAGTGAACTGAAGTGGGTAGAACTACATTTTCTTCAGGAAAACAAACTACAGTGTCCAGTGGCTATATATTTTCTCTACTTTTTCTGCTCCTCTAGTAGAAAGAGATATTGAGATGGATCACTATCTAAAACTTGCACAGCTGCAGGAGATGATACCTCAACATCAAAAGAAAAACACTTTATGTATAAAAAATAGTTTTGGAAATACAGGCCTTCAAAGAATACTTTTCTGTTATGTGTGTATATTGAGTTTTTGTGCTATAACTGATTTGACAACATGGACTTATTTCACGATTAGATGAGGTTATAAACTTCCATTACATTTATTTCCTTGGGAAAAACAGATGACAAAACTCATCTTTGTTCAGTGGAATTGCTAGGTCTTAACCGCAGTGGATAATCTTAAATTTTTGGTTACTACAATGTTCTCAGTCATCCATTTTGTCATCAATATAGAGAATTCTTAATTTCTAAGTGAATGAAAGAATTGTTTGTTGATATTTGTCGGTAGGTAACATACTTTCCTTAAAGATTTCTTTCTTTTACATTATTGGATAGAGGGTTGAGAAAATATACATGAAAGACACATTGGAAGTAAAGCAAGATCAGTTTCTATTTCTGATAAAGGATAGCAAATTGATATGTGCTTTAGATTTAAAATTGTTTTTCATTTATGTTGGTTGGTGCTAATGTATTTCTTTTCCTTTTTCTCTATGGACAATGCAACTACTATGGATAATTTTATTTCCCTGTTGAATAGCATTCCTAAATCATTAGTGTGTGATTTTAAAGTTCATGAATTTGCTATAATTATGGTCCAATGACCAGGTTTTCTTAATGTAAAACAAAACAGTGTACCTATAGATGATGTGTGTTTACTCAGATCATAGATCCTCGTATTTTATATTCATTTCATACATCAAATGCTTTATCTACTTTCATGTGTCTCATCTTTTTCATTCACTCATCTTTTGGCTGATATTTGATGAAACATGAGAAAACCAGCATTAGAAAAGTCTGCACACACACCATATAGAGTACCCAGTGCACAAATACACCTAATTTTTTAAATTTAAATTTCATTTTTCATTAACAAAAGCAGTCTTGGAGGATTTTCTCATGTGATTTTATAGAGAACATCTTTAATTCCTACCAGAAGAAGAGTCTTGTTTCTGAACAGTTTGTGCATATGATGTTCTGATGGAACAGCAAGAACTTACACATCAAGTAGTTTATACTACATGTCCCCTGTCTATATCTTTCTACCTACATTGATAGACATACATTTTATATATATATGCTAGTTTAGAGAATTGTCAAATCAGTATGTCAGCACCAATGGAAAAATTGTCTTGATGTGTTATATTTTTATCACTTAGGAAATGCCCTTAATTTTCAAGGTTTCTTTTTCTAATGTTACTATTGAAGCATGAAAAGTTAACATCGTCTGTTATCCTTTCTTTCCCCACTATGTATTGTCTTACCCAGAATTGGGCTATACTTGTGTGGTGGTATTTTAACATCTTCTAGTAAGAGATCATGAGTGACATACAGATGCCGATATTTGAAATACTGTTTTTCCCTATTTCCTAATAATCAAATTATATTAATATTTCACACTACAAAAAAAATCAGATTTTCTAATTTGTAAAAACAAAGCTCCTGCTATCTCTTGGAAGTTAAGTTCATAGAAACACTGTCTTATCTTTCTAATAGTAAGAACAATCATACATGATTCCGGCTATAAAAAAATCATATATCCCTAGTGGAATTAACAAGCCTGACCAATTATGATTATGCCAAGTTGTTTTAAACTAAAAGGACTGTCAGTTTGTATTTCTTCCCATTTTTCTTTGGATATCTTTATATTGGCAGGATATGTTGCCAAAATAAAATTGCCACAGCAAAGACACTCCTCTAACTTACATTTTTAGTGGAGTTTGGTTTTTGCTAACCCCATACTAATAAACACTTAAATATTTTGAAATGAAAAAGCCATTAAAGTGCATAAAATAGCCTTTGTTGCTTATTGACAGAACTGTCCTTTTGGGAATAAGAAGACTTTTTCGACCTAAACTGTTATGCATGATTTATTCACAACTTAACAAAGAAAGTACTAACATTTCTGAAAATGTAGTTGATATTCTCACCTATCTCATAAATATTAATGAATTGGATTCACAAAAGAATGTCTTACATATTGTTGACATTTATGTGAATATTCTTTATACTGTTGTAAATGTTTCATTCAACTTAACATTTTTAAAAGATGTATCTGATTTTTCTTTAGAAAAAATATTTTTATTTGTATTTTTTACATTTTAAAGTTCATCTCTGTGCAGCTATTTTTATATTGCCAAAAACTCACATAAATACAAATAAGTGGAATATGCAAAAAAATATTTTGGCAAGCATTACACTGCATATTTTTTTAAATGTTTGTGGGCCAGTCTTATGTAATTGATTATTCTAAGAATGTGTTGTGTCTTATCACTGTAAATATGGCACAAACCTGTTTATCTCAGTAGTGTAAATAATTGAATGAATTCTCCCTGTTCAATTTCTTATTTTAATTTCATTGTAATTTCTCCAGCTGACATTACTGAATCAAAAGACACATAAAGTTTTTGATCTGTGATTTGGAGATAATTGCATTGTGTTCAGTTTCCAATTTGTTTTTATTTGCTTTTTAACTTGTTTTCAGGGTTCCTAGTTTGTGAGAAGTTGATCTTCAGAATTATTTTTACACTATTTATGACTTATTTTCATAATGTAAAAAGTGTGTAATTATTACAATATTAATCCAAATAATGATAATGAATTGTATTGTTATAAAGCTTTATTGATGCTCATGAAAACCTTGGCCTCTTTTATTTAAACACTATTCATAAAAAAAAAAATAGAATGCATGCTCAGCTTAGGGAACTCTTTATGGCCTTCTATCCCAGTAGAAAGCACACATGAGTCTGGAAACCAGCAGGTAGAAATAGGTGTAGCCCCACTTAATATCACTCACTATGACTCATGGGAAATTTTGTGCCAAAAAAAAAAAAAAAAAACACAACACTATTCATAAAGAATTTTATTCTACTCTTCTACGATGTTGTAATCCCACCATTTATCCTGGTGAACACATCTAGCTGTAGGGATTTTCTAAAACTAGAGCTTTGTTTTTTTAAGTAATAATGCACGCAAACCTATCTTCCCCTCCTAATTTTCTTCCACTCTTTCCCATTTTGATGAATTGTTACCCTACATTTAGTTGCCTCTTACCATCCTCCCACCAAATTATTCATCAGTATATTATTAGAATGTAGCACATAATAATCACTCAGTATTTAATGGATGAATGACCAAATGCTTCCACAAAGATACCAATTATTTACAAGTCCCAAATAAAATATTTCTCACTGCTTACTTTTCTTATATTTATGCTTTTATAATTGAAAGATAAAATTGTGTTTTATTGTCAAAACACGTTTTGAAGTATACACACACTGTGGAATGGCTAGTTCTAGCACTAAACTTTGTTGATCTTGCCAGCAGCATTAGATGCAGTTGACCACTGCCACCCTCTTCAACGCTCATTTCAGTTCTCAAGTCTTTATGTTCTTGTCATTTAACCCTACTTTTCTTTCTTCTTTTCCTCTGCCAGCTCTTCCTTCTCTACCTGATCATTAAATTCTCAGGGCTCTGAGTTTCATTCTCTCTTCTGCTTTTGCTCTTCTCACCTACACATTCCCTCTCTCCAAAAGAGCTCATTCACGCCCACAAAAACAACGTTCCTGTCTTGATCAGACTTCCTTCTGACTTTCAGACCAACTGACAAAGGCATGTTCACCTGGATGTCCCACAGGTGCTTACCATCTTCTGCTTCACCCCTGGTTCTCTTCCAGACTTCCATATTATAATGAATGGTGCCACTTTCCCCACCTGCCACCCAGGCAGGCATTTAGACACTACCCACCTCAATCACCCACTCATCCCCTCACACACACAGCAGCTAATTCATCACCAAGTTCCTTCAATTCTGCCTCCTAAACTTCCATCAGATCTACCCCTTCTCTCATCCCCACCCCCACTGCTTCAGTTTAGACTTGCCTCATTTTGCTTTTAAATTTTTGGAAAAGCCTTCTAACTGGCCTTTCCACAACTATTAACTATCTCACACCCTCTATCACTCTGAGGATGATGATTTAAAGAAAGCAAATATGGTTTTATTTATAAATGCATCCTTTTATTTTACTTCCCATAAGATTTAAGACAAATTAGAAGTACACTTATAAAGAACACTCAGACTGGGTGCGGTGGCTCATGCCTGTGATCCCAGCACTGTGGGAGGCTGAGGTGGGCAGATCACCTGAGGCTGGGAGTTTGAGAGCAGTCTGACCAACATGGAAAAACCCTGTCTCTACTAAAATGACAAACTTAGCTGGGTTTGGTGGTGCATGCCTGTAACTCAGCTACTCGGGAGGCTGAAGCAGGAGAATCGCTTGAACCCAGGAGGCGGACATTGCTGCGGTGAGCTGAGATTGTGCCACTGCACTCCAGCCCAGTCAACAAGAGCAAAACTCACTCCCCCCCCCCCAAAAAAAAAAAAGAAAAACAAACAAACACACACACACTCTTGCTGGGTGCGGTGGCTGACTCCTCTAATCCCAGCACTTTGGGAGGCTGAGGCAGGCAGATCGCTTGAGCCCAGAAATTTGTTTGAGACCAAGCAACATGGCAAAACCCTGTCTCTACAAAACTGCAAAAAGAAATTCAGGCATGCTTGTGCACACCTGTAGTCCCAGCTACTTGGGGGACTGAGGCAGGAAGATCACTTGAGCCTGGGAGGTCAAGGCTATAGTGAGTCAACATGGCTCCACTGTAATCCAGCCTGGTGACAGAGGGAGATCCTGTTTTAAATATTTTAAAAGTTTTTTGTTTTTTAATTAGTTTAAAAATAAGAACCTGAAAACCATACATAGTTCAAGACCACAAAGAAAGTTAAAATGAAAAGACAGAAAACATAAAACTCTGTAGTATCATTAAATCAAACAACCAGCATGGCTCTGAACTGCCTGGTGTTCATAGGAAAAAGAAAAATCAGTTAACACACTTATATCATCCATAAGGTGACAAGGCACAGGTTCCTCAAAAGAACCAAAGTTAATTGAAATACATATTTAATATATATTTCTTATATATATTTAAATATATAGATATCTATTTTTAATTTTAGATGGAGTCTCACTCTGTCGCCCAGGCTGGAGTGCAGTGGCTCAATCTTGGCTCACTGCAACCTCTACCTCCTGGGTTCAAGCAACTCTCCTGCCTCTGCCTCCCGAGTAGTTGGGATTACAGGCGCATGCCACCATGCCTGGCTGATTTTTTGTATTTTTAGTAGAGATAGGGTTTCAGTGTGTTGGTCAGGCTGGTCTTGAATCCTGACCTCAGGTGATCCACCCACCTCAGCCTCCCAAAGTTCTGGGATTACAGGCAGGAGCCACTGCACCTGACCCAAAAATATTTTTTATGTGAGATTTCTTATAAAGAACACTTCTACAATAACTACAACAGCAGATTTTGATAGTGTTTCTCAATGTAAGCCAAACGTGTATGTCTTAGTCTGTTTTTGTGTTTCAGAAAAGAGTACTTAAGGCTTGGTAATTTATAAAGAAAAGAGGTTTATTTGTTTCAGGGTTCTGCAGGCTGTACAAGAAACCTGGCACCAGCATCTGCATCTGGTGACAGCTTCCAGCTACTTCCACTCGTGGTGAAAGGGGAGCCAGTGAGCAGAGACCACATGCAGAAAGCAGAAGCAAGACAGCAGGGGAAGGTGCCAGGCTCTTTTTAACAAGCAGCTCTAGGGCAAAGTCACGCAGAAATTAATAAAATGAGAGCTCACTCATTACCATGAGGATGGCACTGAGCCATTCATGAGGGATCCAACCCCATGACCAAACCACCTCTCAGTAGGCCTCACCTCCAACAACAGGGATCAAAATGAGATTTGGCATGAACAAACCATATCCAAACCATAACAATGTGCCAAACCAGTTTCCCTTAAAACACCTCTGCGTGGAAATTTAATCATATTATTACTTTGCTTAAAATCTGCCAGTAGGTGTTACTGGATGGCAAGTAAAAAAAAAAAAATCTGCCAGTAGGTCTCCCATCGTCATGCAGATACCTCAGTGTAGAATCTGAGGCCTATTGTGATTTGACCATGACTAGCTTTATAACCTCGTGTCTTGCTGGCCAGCAACTCTCACCCAAGGTTCTCCCATGTTAAACTATTCGAAGATCCCTTTGGTTGCTGCCTAGCCCTGAAATAGTCTCTATCCCCATCCCTGCCATCCATTTGAAGAATACTTGCTCTTCTTCCAAGACTCAACATATACTTCAACTTACTAAACACCCTTTCCTGCCAAGTTGAGATGCTCCTTCTCTACTCCAATAATTTCTTGTATTTGGCACTACTAAAACTCTTATCAGATGGTTAGTAACTGTAGTTTGTCTGTCCCCTCCACCACATGGTAAAACTAAGCATGAACCCAATTCAGTGAGTTCTCAATATCATTAAGTAAATAAAGGAATATTTCTCTTGGAAGAAAAAAAAAAAAAAAAAAGAACAAAAGCTGCAAGAACAACAAAACTCACTGGAACTTGTGAATTGTATTAATGTGCATGATAGGGAAAAGCAGTCCAGAGCTTCTCAGGTGGGGCATCACCTGGTAAGTGCAAAAGGCCGGAGAACTCCCCCCTCCTAGCCAAGGGAAGACATGAGGGACGTTTCCTGGCACTCTGGCACAGATACTGTGCTTTTCCCATGGTCTTCACAACCCTCAGACCAGGAGATTCCCTCTGGTGCCTACAACACCAATGCCCTGGGTTTCCAGCACAAAACTTGGCAGCCGTTTTAGCCACTGCAGTTTTTTTCTCCCTCATACCCCAGCGACACCTGGAATGCCAGGGAGACAGAACAAGTCATGTCCATGAAAAAGGGGACTGAAGCCAGAGAGCCATGTGATCTGACTTGGCAGGTCCCACCCCCATGAAAACCAGCAAGCTAAGATCCACTGGCTTGAAATTCTTGCAGCCAGCACAGCAGCCTGAGCTCAAACTGAGATGGTAGAGCTTGGTGGGGGAAGGGGCATCCATCATTGCTGAGGCTTGGGTAGGTGGTTTTAACCTTGCCTGTGTAAACAAAGTCACCAGGAAGTTTACACAGCAACTGGGCAGAGCCCACAACCACTCAGCAAGTCCTCTGCAGGCAGACTGTCACTAGACTCCCTTCTTTCTGGGCAGGGTATCTCTGAAAAAAGCAGCATCCCATGAAGGATTTATAAATAAAGCTTCCACCTTCCAGGGACAGAGTACCTGGGAAAAGGGACAGTTGTGGGTTCCACTTCAGTAGACTTAAACATCCCTGCCCGTCAGCTCTAAAGGGAGCAACGATCTCCCACCAAAGTGATCGAGCTCTGATAAGGAACAGACTGCCTCCTCAAGTGGTTCCCTGAACCCCATGTAACCTGACTGGGAGACAACCCCTAGCAGGGACTGACAGACACCTCATACAGGAGATCTCTGGCTGGCATCTGGCAGGTACCCCTCTGGGACGAAGCTCCCAGAGGAAGGAATAGGCAGAAGCTACCAGAGGAAGAAATAGGAACAGCAGTCTCTGCTATCCTGCAGCTCCCGCTGGTGATTCCCAGGCAAACAGGGTCTAAAGTAGACCTCCAGCAAACTCCAACAGACCTGCAGCAGAGGGGCCTGTTAGAAGGAAAACTAACAGAAATAAGTCATTTCGACATCAATAGAAGAAAGGACATTCACTCAGAAACCCCATCCAAAGGTCGCCAACTTCAAA